CGTTTTGAAGCCGCAAAACAGCTGTTTTGCGGCTTCAAAACGACCCGAAATGGCCCCCCGCGGCGTTTTCGCGCCCTCGGCAAGCGAGGGGAGGGCGCGAAAATGGCTGCCCGGGGCCAGGAAACTTCTCTAAGTGGGAAGTTTAGGGCCGATTTGGAACGCATTAAATGAAGTTTAATGCGTTCCAATGGCTTTTTACTTCCTGCTTAGCGAAGATTTCGTATAGCGAAGGTTAATCCGGAACGGATTAACCTCGCTATACGGGGCACCACTGTAATCCCGTGAACTGAAGAGCTTGCCAACACTCCAAAGAGAAAGCTTCTCCAGAGTCTACTATCTATATCGCCAAGTCTGTCATGCAACCTGTTTGGGGGAAGATCAACCCCCCCTTTCAGAACAGCAGCAAGGCCCCCCCCCCCCAACTCACATGCTCCTGTATCCGAAGTTCCTGGTATTTGATGAACTTGGAGCCCCGGCTCTGCAGGTAGAGGCGGCCTCCGGATCGATTGGTTTGGCACTCCCGGCTTGGGCACATCAAGAGAGGCGTGAAGGAAGGGGACTGGATCTGGAAACAACAGACATCAGCCAAAAAGAGGGAAGGATACTCAAAGGGGAAGGCATGAAAGTTCACGAGCATGCGCGCGCACACACACACACACGGCGAGCGTACACTGCCTGCAGAGCAGGCGAAACCACTTACCGGCTGGTAGGTTTCTGCCCCACACTGGTCACAGCTGTAGGTGGCCACCACCATGCGAGGCTTCACCTCAGAGACACGCGTGACGATGCCCCGGATGGTCACCAGCTTGCCGATGGCATCAGCCTTCACTTCTCGGATCACACGGGCTTTGGTGGTTGAAGGCGCCTTAAAGTACAGCTCACTGCCAAGAGAAGAGAGGCAAGGGAGAACTGGAGGGGACAAAGGCGGCCTGCCTCCCAAACACGCTTTTCATGTGTGCTCACCAGATACACCCCTCCGCTGTCTTTGGAAACAACGGCTGTCACAAGGAAGCTTGCGAGAGAAAAACACTTCAGTGTAGCGCTTGCAGCAAAACCCAGTAATTTCAGTTACACAAACTAGCCAACGTAAAACCATCAAACTGCAGCAACTCAAGTGAAACCAAGAAGGTCGCAGAACGGCTATTTTATCTAAATTAGTTTTACCCCTTCTTTCTCCTTAAAAAAGATCCAAGATGGCTTAAAGCAATTAAAAGATAGCACTTAAGCTAACAACAGAGAGCAATGCCAAAAACGCTCTCCCTCCCTCCCGCCTTTCCTCCTGAGGAAGAGCCCTGTGCGGCTCCTGAGGCTGG